GGCTAAGATTGTTGAAGGTCTTTTGTAAGACAATTGAAAGACAGTAGTTAGGAAAGTTTGAACGATTTTGTTTATCCTGGCACGAACGTCTTACAAAAAAAGCCCCTTTGCCAACTTTCATCGCGCAAATCTCTTTTGCGTAGGGACTACACGCACTCAGTTTGTTTTACCTGTTACCGTTATTTCATATAATTTAAATTCCTATCGATCAAAGCTATTGATATTATTATTCCAACCATATACATATATGTTTGAAGTAATTTGTATCCAATCGATGTTTTTTTACCGTTTCACAGATCATTTAGATAGTTATAAAGGCAATTAAAATGAACTTTAAGACAAATTCGCGCTCGATTATATAAGAGAAAAGGATAAAACCAAATAAATTTTTTTTATGCGCTACAAACATGCAAATGAACGACTTTTTATTGCCTAATAACGCCAGTAGCACTAATTAAGTACTATCAAGTAATTGTAATGCCAATTAAAAATTTTGCAAAATAATATACATATTTCAATATTTCCAGAAGCATCTCGTAGCACTTGTTGTGCATAAAATTAATTGAGAAATACGCAAAAACTATTTTTAGTTCATACACGTGGTGTAAACAATTTATTTATTGCATTTTGTTATAAAATTTTCATCACTTTTACACAATATTTTTTTGTTGCTAATTCGCGGCTAGGAATAACCAACATTTTTTCGAAAATAATTCCAAAACTAATCAACAGGCATGCATAAATGCATTTGTGTAAAAATTTAGATACACACATATTCGTACATAAGTATGTACATTAGGGTGGCCCAAACATGCATGTGAGAAAATTAGAGAAGGAATTTTCATGCTCTCATCCCCTAGAATTGTTCGAAATCAAAAAATATTTACAGGTTGCTCAAGGACTAAAAATTTTCCACGTTATATATATGGGAAAAACCACTTTTCGTAGAAATGCCATAGAATTCTTGAAAATCAAAATTTTTCGATCGGGAAACTCTGTTTCCCTTCAGGAGACCTCCAATAATAATACTTATTATTGAAAGTCTATATTTTGCGATCGCAAAACTCGATTTTTCTGAGAAGACTTCCAATAGTAGTGCCGAATTTTTTTAGATTACCATTTTTTAACACTAACGATATTTTTAGATCACCAAAAAACCACAAAAAATGCAATGGCGGACCCATAAAAAATCGTTCGTATTAAAAATGGTAAAATAAACGATTAAGGACCGTTTTCTGAAGTAACCTTTAACTTTAAAGCTCACTTTATATTTAAAGGTTGGATTAAAAGTAAAGCTATGTCTAAAGTTAAGCATTTCTATTATCGGTTTTAAATGTTTATTTTTTGATTTCAAAATAAAAAACAGGTGAAAGCATTAAAATTCCGACCTTACTATTTTTTTTGGACCACCCAAATGTACAAAGTTATGTCAGCACACTTTTACGTCTGGTCGTTGGCACATTAGAATTGATTAAATGTAATTCAATCTAATTTATAACGCAGCTGCATACGTATGTACATACATACATATCTAAGTTTGCATGTAATTTTCGTTTTTTTTTTAATACACGGAAAAGTTTCGCCACACTTTCAACGCGCCTCAACATTTGTGCGGCTTCCGGGCGGCGAAAAATTGGCAAAGCCCACAAAATACCGTTCGTTCTATTCGTTTCAGAACACAATTTTACCTTTTCAATTTTTAACTGCTATTATTTAGATTTTGTTAATTTTTAATAATCTTTTCTTGCAATAAAAATTAATTAAAATAACAAAATCCCGTCGCCACACTTTCGCTTCAAGTATCCGTACTTGTGCAAGTTTTGCGCGTTTTTCGACTCGTCTGCTCTCCAGTTGAACTGCAACTAAGGTACCATTGCACTATCAATTGGTGAATGCATGTCTGCGGGTGTCTGGAGCTCTTCCATGTGCTGCTCAAGTATGAGTTGCGCGCTCATCTCAACCCTTTTGTTAAATTAAGTGCCACATAAATACTTGGCAATTGAGAAACAACACCAACAGCAGCTGCTGTAGTTGCGGTGAAACTTGTTTAGTCGGGTGAACTAATGAATTCACATCATTAAAGGGGCTTTAGAAGTGCACATGTGAGGCTACCCTTACCACGCTCGCATACCTAAAATGAAATCCACCCGCCATCTCTTTAGTACGATAGACTGCAGGCGGTTCTATTTATTGAGTCTCTCTTTTGATGTGCTTGAAATAATGAGCTTTAGTGAGCATCTATTTAGCAACTGAAGCTTAAATTCAATCTGCTGCACTACAAGTAGTGGTATTCATTTTTACGCGTAAATAAGATTTCAAGCATTGATTTTAAATGTATAATGCTGACTACGGGCAACCATTGAAGCAATGTGCTTAGGCAGCCTGTTCTTCTTGTTCAATACACACGAGGCAACCATTGCGGCAACCTCAGTAGTGTGTGCTCTGTTATGAAATGAACAAACGCACATGGGACGGCCATATAAGCGGGTGCTCAAAATTCTGAAATCATTTTCTTTTCATTAGACTCGCTTGAACTACTTTTTAAGAGTAAATTTTTGACGTCTTAACCCATTATTGATCATGCATCAACCCATTGGTGACCCAGATTTTTATAATATCTTATGTTAAGTTAATTCGATTTCATGATTGTGCAAATTATGAATAATTTACCTATTTACGACTTTGACTTAACGCATTGATGACCATATTTTAACCCATTAGCTTTTTTTTAAAGAGTATTTCCCCAGCCAATTTTATTAAAAATAGGTAGGTTTAGGTTACAATATAATATAGTCCTTTATATTTAAGGATAGCTTTATCAATGAATTCGCAATACTTAAAACTAAGTTAAAAGCGATAAAATGTACTAACAGTAACAAAGTGTGCATTTTTTATAATCACTAGGAAAGAGCATGAAACAGGTGAAGTCATTTATATAGAGATCAGTTAGATAGTAAAAGACAGGAAATACTAGATACAAAAATTTACGTATCAATGTAAAACATAAAGGGCTAAATGCATGGTCAAAACAAAGATGAAAGTAAAAATTATTTCAGCTCTCTGAAAACACCTTTTTTATAAAAATTTGTCAAAAAAGTCGAAATTATTTTTAGTTTCGTCTTTGATTTGACTATGAATATGCCCCATTATGTTTTAAATTTAAAAGCAAGTAATGTATCTAATTAAAAACATTAATGAATTAAAAAATCAGCTATATCTTTATAAAAAAAATAAATAATTAAAATAAAATACAAAACAAGCAATTTTTAAGCAAAAATCAAACGACTACATTTCTCATATAAAAATTTAAGATTATCGTTAATTTCTTCTTGATCCAATTATCGGATCTAAAGGATTAGTATGGGACCACCCTTGAGACACCATCTTTCCGATGAAAAAAGAATTATCGAAATCGGTTAACGTGGCCCAAAGTTATGCGGTAACATACATACATAAAAAAAAAAAAATTCCAACGAACTGATAACCTCCTCCTTTTTTTGAAGTCGGTTAATAAAATAAATAGTCAAAAATAGTCAAGTTTCTTTTCATTATGTGGGTCTCGTATAGTTACCCTACGCACTATTAAAAGGGTTTTGAGTATGAACTTTTGTAACCCATTTAATTGTAGTACATTAAAGTGCAAATAGCTAGGACACCTTCACCAAAATACTTGCCAAAAATCAACGGTATGTCCTAGCTACTTCAAACTTGGACTCAAAATCTTTTTTTAAATATCTAATCAATAACATCGATATTTTTACGAAGTTGGAAACTCAGCTTTATTAGATTTTTGCTAAGAAATAAACTATATTTTTATAAAAAAGATAATTAAAATTAAATAAAGATAGAAAAATAGTCAAAACTTGTCAATATGTGGGTGCCTTATAGTTATGATAAGTACTATATAATGAAAACTGTGACACTTATTCTTCATAGTCGGAATCTAAATCCCATCCATGCCACGTTAAACTAATATTATTCGCTTCAAGTTCTACTAAGTAACTCCACACTGGCAACAAGTGCGAGCTAGTAATCGTAGGGTCTAATGAAACTAGCAATCTATTAAAAACGTCTCCTAAATTGTCAGCGCGACCCGTTTTCCTACTATAGATCTCTCTAAAGTTTTTACAGTCCTTGTTTGAACTAAATCCGTTTCTCACTAAAGATTTTACAGTCCTTTTTAGAACTAAATCCTCTTTTTATTCATTGAGCAACCTCAAAATAATAATCAGTTTAAGTTCGAAATGAAACAGAATCAAACTTAACCAGAAGTATATGTTTTTGTGTTTAATTAAAATCCAAGTGGAATTTTTAAAACCAATTTATTTAGAAATGCGCAAAGTGCTTTTGGTTTTGAACCCGGATTCTTAGTAAGGAAGGAACATACTATATTGCAGTACTGTCAATTTTAAAAGCGCTTTGCACATTTAAAAAAAAAAAAGTGATTTTGTAAATTAAACTTGCAAAAAACAGAGGTTAGTTTAGTGTTCTTTTAATCATAATTTTTTTTAAACATATAATTTCAAATAAAATACACGAAAAGAATAAATAAGCTTCATTTTAAGTAATGGAAAAAACACAATAACGAAATATAATACCGCTTTCTTACAGTAACAATTTAAATTTCACATTTTGATTTCTCAGTTTTGAAAAAAAAAAAGTTTTTTGTTCAAATTCGTAAAGTTTGGACACGCATATCCCCCAGCCGAAAAACTATTAAAAGGTGAAAACCTACCCCCCGATGTAAAATTTAATGGGGAATAAACCTGCGTTTTTATTTTTCAAAAAAAAAAATATTTTTTAAAAATTGAATTTTGAGCAGGCTTAGCCCCAGTATGCGGCAGTCAAGATGGGGCGATTTTCCATTCAGCCGCCGATATGCTCTTTATTTTTTGGGTCTTACGGAAACCATATACTCTTGCAAGATAGTTGTATCTGCCGCATCTTAAATCAGAGATCCCAAATCTTTTTACTTATGACCGCTGCAAACACTTGGAAACGAATTAAGGAATTTTTTTTTTATATGTTGTTAATTTAAAAGTTAAAGCATTCCTTTGAGTAAAATTCAACTGAATGTCAGTGAAAAATTTTTATTATATTTTTTTACAATACAAAAAATTTTTTCTCGCATAGCGTATATTTTAAATTAATTTCTTCTTAAGGCCAAATTGGAAGCGAAACTTAGTTTAAAACAAAACAAATTTCAATACCAAAAAAAATTTTGCAGAAATGGATGTTTCGCCAAGCAGAAATAGTGCAGGCAGTGACGGCAAACTCGGTAAGTACGCACCAGATGCATAATGTTGCATACTTTTCTGCGTTGCGAAATAACTACACAAATGTATTGCAATTTTCGCAGTATCAAACTCATTACCGCCTGGTCGTAAGGATCTATCCAAATCCATACCTAAATTAACTGGTGAACTAATTTTCAAGCAAAAGAACGAGTCCACGAAACCGCCACCAGCAACGGAGGTTATAGCAGTCGAGGGTTCCGCCAATGTTACCAGCAGCAGCAATACCATAACTCTCGAACCCACACCCGTTCCCACGCTCACCAGCGCTACCGAAAGCAAACCGCACTTAGCTAGATCAAAAACTGTGAGTATAATCGCACTCGAGGGGGAAAATTTCCACGCTAGAATGCTTTTCAATTCAACTCGTTTAGAATTGAATGAAATTTGTATTTTCTTTGTGATATTTTTGTGTATATTTTTATTATTATTGTCGATATATTTAGTTGGCGTCTGCGCAAAATACCGTATACACGAAAATACCCATGAAGCGCGCGGTACGTACACGAAATTTTTAGGGGTAATGCGCAACGTATAGAGTCTCTTATCCGAAATGTTGTTTCTTTCTACAGACCGGTACCAGTGCAACCACAAAGACCGTAATTACGCCCCGATACAATCAACGTCAACAAATGCGTTCTGCCTCTAAGATCAGTTTGACCATCAAAGAGTTGGGTGGCGGTGGCACGAAAGTAGACTCCAATGTTTCCAAATTGAGTTTTAAGGCGAATACCTCAACGAATCTGAAGCCGCCTTCACACTTGAAAGCGCAAACCACGCGCGGCAATGTAGGCGCTAGAATTTCGAAGAGGAGCGGTAGGAGCATGACGCATTCAATACAACCGAAGTACGTTTGTTCACAGTTTCTTCTTTATCCCCCACTCTTAGGCAGCACCATTTCCTGCCACAGTAACAGTGAAATTCGAAAAGGTGACGAACCGCTACAGCAGCTCACCAAAATTAGCTCATCTGCCGGCGATCACGAAAGCAGTGGTAGTGGACAAATACTGAGCGCGCGCGAACGCGTTGCTGAGAATAATAAACTCAAGGTATTCGAGGGCCTACAGCGCAAGTTACAAGACATGCAAACAGATTTTATGCTGAAGTTCGAGACGCTCAAGTTGACATCGCCCGATAAATTGAAGGCAGATTATAAATTCATAACAATGGTTAAGAATGATGAATACAAGTTATTGCTGAAGGAGGATCACATGTTGAAGATGCCAAAGAAGTTGCGTAAGTTTTGATGCGTACCCTCGCGTCTTCGATAATTGCCCCTACTTTGACATTCCAGCGGCGGACTCTGTGAACGATTTCAAAGAAAAAGTACGCGCCGCAGTGAATGGTTGCCTTATGTGCCTGATGGATAACCTAAAGGAGCTGCAATCGGCGAAGGGTGAAGGGGCAGAGCGTACGCTGAATTTGGAAGAAACGCATAATAAGTTGGAAAACGATCAGGTAATTTAAGTTGCAGTGAAAGCTATAAAACGAAAAAGTTTTCAATGTGTAAGCTTATTTGCTCAAACTGCAGCGCTCTCCTTTTTGCAGTGTAAAAAATTGCATGATCTTTTTGAGTGCGTGAATTCGTTAGCCAATGCCAGGGATACCGAGATGGATGCGCAGATTGTTAGAATGCAGAAGGAAATACAGGTGAAAGCTTGCAACATTGCATATGTATTTAACTTTAAGCACCTTTAGATTTGGTCTCTCACAAACAACTAGGAGGGCAGAAAAGCTCTACAACTGTCCGAGAAGCGTTTAGCCGAAATAAAAGCTGTACACACGGAGGAATTAGAAGCTTTGCAGAAAGAGTTAAAGGAAAAGACTGATGCCGATGTAGCGAAGCGGGAAACGCAAATTGCTGAGGTTTGTTTGGAGTATCTTCACTTTTTTTCCTTTTAATTCATAATTTTTTTTTTCACCCCCCAATCAGTTGAATCGAAAGCTGCGCAGTTTAGAGAAACAACATGACAAATTGAAAACCACATTACAACAGAATACTGAAGAGTGTACCCACGAACATACCGAGAAGGCGAAACTTTTGGATGAACTTAAAAGCTGTAAGGAAAGGTAAGTGTTCATTTCAGTCTAGGGCGGAGTGACTTCAAAAACTTACTAGCATGAACACTATTGAGGTTACATAATCTTCTTACCAGCTCAATCGAGTCCAAAATAGACTACCAGAAAGTGGACGCTTCTAAGTCGTGTGTAAGAAAGTAATGTACCTGATGAGGGTACAAAAACTTAAATGTGTGTCAAATGTCCCAAATGCGCTGAGCGGTTCAAAATAAGGTAGTTTTCGAGTAGCCGGGCATCAGACAAAAAATGGGAACCAAATTTCGAAAAATATGATTATTCAAGATTTTTGTACGTGCTATCCGATGGTGTTATGCGTTTTCGCAAATTTTCCCAATTTTCATGGTGAAAATTTGAAACGAAAATTTATTTGCCATTCTTCTCAATTATGGTCAATTTTAATTTTGTTTTTAATCATCTCAATCGAAAGATCAGATCTTCTTATGTAAAAATCATTAATAAAAAGGGGTCGCGTTACGTCGGCACCGTTCGCTTGGACGAATTAGAATATCATACTGTGACAGCAGATTTTTACAGAATTTTCATTTAAACTCGCTATTTCTCAGACGTGTCGGCCACTATGGTGTATTGGTAAGCAGTGCGCGCTTCCACTCCGCAGCACCAGGGTTCAAACCCTGGTCAAAGCAACATCGCAAAAATATAGAAAAAAAAAGTTGTTTCTTAACAGCGGTCGTCTCTCGGCAGGCAATGGCAAACCTCCGACTGTATTTCTGCCATGCTGTGATCACAAGGTTTTCAAACTTTTTTATTAGAATTGAGAGGGTGTTTTTTTAATGCAAAAGTTATGTTATAAATTTCATTTTTTTTATACAATGTGGTAGATGAATATTTAAGGAAGTATTTGTGAAATTTTCAGATTCAAAGATCAAGTAGCTCCAAAGCTATAACACTTTTCATTATTAAAATCTAGAGATATCTAACTTTTTCGAATTTTTATTCCCGTTTTTTGTCTGATTCCCATGTAGTCGAAAAGTAGCTTGCTTTGCACCGCTCAGCGCGATTGGGCCAGTTGACGTGAATTGACCCATATGCTAAGGAAATACTTAAGCTTTTCAACTACAATCAGTGGTTTGGTGTTGTCTGTAACATTTTCTAGCATTCAGCAAACGCTGGACTGTAGTGTATCTGGAAGCAGAGTATATGTAAGTAGTTTGATAAAACCAGCGAATTTTGAGTTTTGTTTAGGATCTGAAGACTGCATAATTTCTATAGAATCTTTTCCGCAATGACGGCGAACCATTGCCGTATATCGATTAAGGTCACCCGTTCTCTGCTTATCGAATTGAGGGTTAATTTCAGCGAGGACCTTCACGTAAGAAGTCGCTTGCAGAAAACGATCTAAAATTTCTTTCTGATAGACAGCTATCGACTCGATTCAAACATTAATTTTCTGAAGTAATGCCTATATGAGGTAGCATCCCAAGTAGTAATCGCATCGTCTGATGCGTTTTATGAGGGTACCTGCCGACGACGGCTTAACCAAACGGTGCTCAGCTCACGGTGGCATAAGCTGAGGAGGAAAACAAGTTACCAGTTGCTACTACCAGTCTAATGGGATTGTTGATTGTCGGAATTACAGGGCCATCGAGGAGGCCTGGTCACAAGTATTGAATAGTGTGGAAAAGTATTTGATGGCGGGAACTATTACATATCATCGGCTGAGTGGAAGATCGCTCCTGGTTCGAAAATACCTATTTCAGCAAATGGTCGAAAACGCCCAATTTGAGAATTTGGTTGAAGAACGCCCTATCTCAAAATTTGGTTCAAAACTGCTCTATCTCAGCTGCCACTTCGAAAACCACCTAACCCAATATAAATACAATACATCTGCAGCTGAGATAGCGTGTTTCTGAACCATTCGCGGAGATCGAGCGTTCTTCAACCAAATTGTGAGATAAGAAATTCTAAAATAAGCCTTTTTACAACCGTTTGCTGAGATAGGGCGGTCTTTCACTCAGCCGCCGATATGTAAATAATCACTTAACAACTCGAGAAGGCTGTTGATGCCTGGCACGTGGCCATCATGCCCAAAATCAACAACATTGGCGGGTTCTATGATTAACTCGGCATAGCAGCTTCGTCCAAAAACGATCATCCAGCAGAAATCCCCTCAATTATGTTAAGAGTCTAATTTTTAAATCTTCCTCCACCCTCAAAGCCGTAGCCCTACATCTATTAGTTGTCAATTGATAATCAAAAACTCAATTTCGCAGATTTCAATACATTTTCTCGGTCTACCAAGTTGGACTTCCTAAGGAGTTTGACTTATGCAGTGTGCGGCTCAATAAGTGAGCGACATTCTCTAGGTGAGTTGTAATCTCAGCGTCAGATATGGATATCGTTATTTTAATATAGAAAGGCAATATCTAGCATTTTGGTTTCTTTACAAAAACGAAAGTTCCAAATATCTTTAAATCACTGGGGAAACATTTTTTTTTATGTAACACAAGTTGTTTTTCAATTCTATCAGAAGAGCTTTAGTTGCTGAACATTTTGAACAGTATTCGTGATCTAACCCACAGCCTGTCCTATTCTTATTTGGTAGTTATACTTTGAGTGGAGATTGATTGAGAGAGTTTCTTTTTGTGTGGTCAGATCATAATCTGGCCCCGACGTACTTATGTTTTAACCTTTCCTGTGAGTAAAATTCTTTACGGAGGTTAATTGGATACATTAGGAAAAAATGAGTTCAAAATTCATTAATGGTTTTCGGTGTATTAATAAATTTGCTTTATTTGTTGCTATTTAGTTCATGAAATTAAATATTTCGCCTCTCCCCCACAGTATTCAGGCTCTCAATAAGAAATTAACACACGCTGAAAGCCAATTGAATCACGAAAAGAAAGATAAGCACGATAAAAACGAAATCATACAAAAACTGGAAGTCGACCTTGATAAGGCCAAGAGGGAAATAGAAGAAGCACTGCAAGCGAAACCACAACCTGAGCAACCGCATCATGAAAAGGAACTCAAAAAGGAGATACATAAATTAAAAGGAAAAATAGAGACATTGGAAAAAGAGAAGCAAGAATTTGTAGAACAGGAGTTGATGCTGCAGGAGGTAAGAAAGTGAAAGAAAACGATGTTTGTTCCAACGCTAAACAAGTGTATGAACTCCACAGAAAGTTACTGCTATGGATAAGTTACGGAATAAGATCGCTGAACTGGAGGAACGTAATCGGTAAGTAGAGCGGGAGATAAAAAAAAATGAGCATAAAGAATGCACGTGTAAAAAAAATATGAGTAGGTAGCTTTGTTTTACTTCACGTGGATGGGTTTTCAAGTTGCTGGGACAACTTTTTTTCCACTTAATGTACTTGAGCCTAAATATGCGTTTTCTGTTCTGGTATATATTTGCTTTTCTTAGAGAATTATTGGAACGCGAAAAAATCGCAGAAGAAAATACAGAGCTGCCCAAGGAAAACAAGGCAGAGGTAAGCTCAACGCATATTCCAACGAAGTTTGACATCAATTGTGTGCTACTTAATATACAGCTCCAACGACTGTTGCAATCTGAGGCCGAAAAGCATCGAGAAATCGATAAGCTCAAAACGGAACTAACCAAGGCGCTCTTCAATATGGAACAGCTGGAGGAACAGATCCGTCGCGATCAACAGCTACTCGAAGTGCGTAGCGAATTGATTAATTCGCTGCAAACGAACGACAATAGTCAACGCATTCATTTGGAACAAATGTTCGTAGAGGTTGGCGAAAAGAATAGTACCATCAATGAGGTATGGGTGAGTCTATCGTTGGTAGAAAAATGACAGCTTCTGCATTAAATGTTCTCTCCCCACCCCTCTTTTAATGCAGTTGAACAATGAGTTGCGTACAAAATCTGAGGAATTTCACAATCTCTTCAGCACCTTAAGTAACAAGCAAATGGAGCTGTCGCGTCAGGAGCATATGATTAAGTTGTTGGAGGAGAGTAATGAGCGTAGTCAGATGTTGCGGGTGAAGCAGGAGGAGAAAATTGGGCGTATGGAAGAGGAGATTGCGCATTTGAAGCAAACAATGTAAGTGTTTTTTAGCTGACCATATACAATATTTTTGAATTGAGTCGTTAAACTAGATTTGTATATCGTGATGGGAGATCAGCCAGAGTAGGCAAAATTGTTGGTTGATTTTCGCAGCCCATATTTGATCTGTTGGTATAGAGCAGAGATTCCCAAACTTTTTTTCTCGTAGACCGCTTCCAGAATTTTATTGGTTCCGGCGGACCGCCCGCTGTTACATTTCTATTATATTTGCAACATTCGTAAAAAATTTGAAGATTCGATCTAACGATGGAAATCTGCGCTGCACCTGAGATCCAACCCTAAACTCGAAGTGGTACAAATAAAAATACATAAGTTAATAGTAAAAAGAAAAAATATTTTTGGTGTGGTTATTTCTGTAACTAATATACATACGTTCTTAATATGAACCAAATCGGACTATAAATACGGAGTTTCCAAATATCTCGATTCATAAAACCTCAGAGCGCTAGAGTTATTTACATTTTCTTCACTATAAACTAATCCCATGTTTGGCTCACTCATGAATTTGCATAAGGAGTATATCGAGGGCTTATATTCAATATGACCTATCTGTAGTTTTTACAAAAATAAGATTCCTATAAAAATCGATCTTAGACTCAACTGTCATCAATGATGTTAATGCTGACCTTGTATATTACTTGTCAGAAGAATTAACTATTGAATTTCAAAACTAAAATTGCAACCGGTGATGACAGTTAAGTCTCAGATGTGATCTAGCATCAGAAAGTAGTTTTTGTATAAACTGTAGATAGGGCGTATTGAATATAATCCCTCGATACGAAAAAAATTGTGTTTTGATCAGGGTTGCCGTTTTGGGCTTTTCCTACCAAAATTGGTATGGTTTTTTTCTCGATGGTAGGATGGTAGGACGCTTAAAATTTTGGTAGGTTTCTTTGCTCATAACACAGAAAACATCTCTGGCTTGTTGTAATGTGCCACTTTGTCAGCACTGTGAGTAGGCTTGCCAAATTATGACAATATCAATTTTACCCCCATTCATGTAAAAACCTCGTTGCTTGCTGGCATAGACAGAACATAACCAATTATCTTCGGCAATTTTCTGAACTCTATATTTTCGTATAAAAAGTCCTATCCACTGCGTATCTAAATATCAAGTGATGGATAGGCAGGTTTATAAATGAGATATTTTTCTTTAAAATGCAGTTGCGAATCGATAATAGTTTCAACAATGACAAGGTTGCCAAAATATTTTAAATGGCAATAGAAGAGCGATTCAAAAAAGAAAACAACTTTTTGTTAGTCATATTTCCAGTAAATCGGAGAATCTCAAAGTTTTCAATCGCAACTCGAAGAAATTAATACCACACCCGCAGCGCGCAGATTTTGTCCCAAGCCCGAAGGCTCCGGAGAGACGAAAAATTTATGTAGTTTCGCATTATATGAATATGTACATACTTCGTAATATATTTATGTATGCAAATGAGCGATAAAAAAAATCCATGACGGAACTTTATTTTCCGCTACGATTTTTACGTCATTCACTCCGAAGGCTTTATTAAATCTATAAACTGCGAATTTTTCGCAACTTTTTCGGGTTTTCGCAATTTACTCGAAATTTTGAGGGTTTAGAAGTCAAACCGACCTCAGATTCGGATTTAGTGGGTCGAAATACACGTCGGTAGGTGTGTCTGGTTAAAAGCACACACCACTTTTTTGTGTGTGCTATATGTATATAATAGCTATTATTTTGATGTTTTTATTTACTGGATATTTTATTTTAAGTATAAAAACCAGAAAAAAATAAATGTATTTAATGCTGTCAAACGCCTTTTTCTTGATTAAAAGAAATGGGAGGAAAGAAGCCATTTTGGTATGTTTTTGGTCCCGCTCTTGATAGGAAAGAAAGTTTTTCAGTGGCAACCCTGGTATTGATGCGTTTTAACTCAGAAACTGACGTTTAGAGAAAAGAGTAAATAACATTTAGAGCATAAATTAAATGATTTCTTCCTGCTGCTTTAAAGGGTTTATCAACCAGATACATATATTTTGAGCGGTATGGAAGCGAGAGAGAAATATTGAGTCGAAAAAACTAAGTTACATACATATGTATCACGGATGTTGCGAATATTTGCATTCGCATTCGTTATGCGAATGATTCGCATCATTTTAGACATTCGCATTCGTCATTCGCATTCGCATCAAATGATACGAATGTTTTGCGAATGCGAATATTTATATGGGCAGAGTGTCCACTCTAATATTGTTGAAATGGCTCTAAGTCTGTCTAACCAGGGTGCGGAGAATAACCGGCTTTCAGCTTCAGTCGCTAAACGGTTAAGTAGTATATCATGCAACACTGATGGGCCTTTAACAAGTACTGCTAAAAGTCGTATAAGCAACATAGAAATAATTTTAGATACCTCGAGGGAAAGCGAAGGCTCGGATGTAGAATCTGGATACATTAAAATATGTGAAAGTAAAGCTCAATTGGAGGCCTATCTTAAAGAAAGACGAGCTCATCTCGGTGAATATCCTCTCGATTGGCGGAAAACTAAACTAAAATACGACAAATTGACAGATCTGGCCGGCAAATATTTGAGCACTCCACCCGCCAGCGTTCCAAGTGACAATTGTTCAGTGCAGCCGGCCTTATATACAAGTCTCTAAGAAATCGCCTCATGAGAGAAAAGGCGGGAAAATAATTTTTTGTTTTAAATATAATATGCCCCTTTTGAACTTTGACTACTAGATTAAAACACTGTATAGGTTAAGCATTCGTTCAATGTTCTAATAATTTACAAAACTTAAGTAATAAAAACGATTAATTTAGTTTAATATAGCTTTTTTAATGTTATTCCTAACATTCGCATTCGCACTCGCACATTCGAATTCCGAAAATTCGCATTCGTATTCGCGAATGTGAAAAGTATTACATTTGAAACATCCCTAGGTGAAGAGCTCTCTTTCTTTTTAATTGACTTCAAAAAGAAGGTGGTCCCATACCAGTTTGGATAAGATCCGATCATTGGATCATGACAAATTAACGGTACTCTTAAATTTGTATATGAGAACTGAAGTCGGTTTCGTTTTTTGCTTGGAAATTACTTGTTTAAAGGTACTGGCCCAATGCAGGCTTGCTTTGCTTGCTTCGATCCGAGAAGTGTCAAAAATTATTTGGAATATACTAAAATGTATAAAGGCTGGCCAAATGGCAGCTTTTCTTCACTTGGTTTAAGCGCCTCAAAGTTTTAAATAGACAAATGTTTTATCTGAAAGCGTTTTGTAGGCTTTTGACAAAGAGGCATGTTCCTGTTCAAAATACATAAATTCAAACAAAAATTTGCTTACTTAATTTAAAAAAACGCAATTGGAAATGAAATTTAACATATCGTTATATATAGTAAAAAATTGCAAAGCTCACATTTACAAATTTTACACGAGAGGAAAAAACTTCTTCTAGCTCTTTTCTTAAAGTAAATCGCTTTTTTAAGTTATAGCTTTTTTAGTAAATGTAGATATACATATGTATGTATCATTATTACCATTTCTTTTAAATACAAACATTATTTCGCATTAATTAATAAATTAATCTGAAAGTTGTTGATACATCTTCTAGAGTTTTCTAGGAAAATAATAATTAATGTTAAGGGAACAGACACTGACTTTCCAACCAGACAGCTGGTTACTTTGACAGCGTTTCAAGCCGCCATTCGGCCAAACAAGTTTTCAAACTAAAGTCAGCAAGGCACGCAAAGCAAGCCTGTATTAGGCCAGCGCCTTAACTCACAAAAGAGAAAATCAAAATTGAATTTCAAGTCTGTGTACAAAAAAGGGAAACAATTTGATTTTTTTTTTTTTCGCGCTATCTGTTAGGATTGCAAGAGAACCGTAACTCCTAAAAATTTTTAGCCAAGAAATCTGAAAATTAAAATCAAGCTTCAAAATGCCTTTTTTAAAGTCTCAACACGACGCTTTTTCATCGGAATGCAGTATGTCAAAAATCGCAGAACAATTTTTAGAATTTTTTTCTCCTTAAATTTTTTTGAGTATTATATCATCTGCTTACATTGCTAAGTTAAGCCAATCCAACATGTTTATTCTTTAATATCGAAACCAGATAAATTTTCGTAGACCCCCACTTACATCTGTGAATCCCATTTTTACATCACGCCAATGTAGACCCCCGTCGAGTCTCCCGTGAACCTTGAAAGCCTATTTGTTGGCCACTTGGTATCTAATGCATTTTCTTCTGTGATGGTAATCGTTTTTGTAAGTTACCGTTTAGGCTTTTAGTCCACAATGTATGCTGAAAACTCTATTGCAAGTTTTGTATGCTATGAGCTTTCCTGTTTACGATTTTTAACATTGGTCTTCCAGTTAAGTGCGGTGTAATACACGATTCTATTAAGTATCTACTTGTGTGTAGCTGACCAAGAGACTCTGCGACCCCAAAGATGATTTGCATCTCAAACCCATCCTAAGATACCTGCGGCTCTCTTAACGAAACCTAAAATGGCCTTGCTAGACGATTTCTTCATTGAAATGGATTCGACCTTTAAAATGAATGAATATTTAAATATCTGGTCAATGGTATGTTTCATCGCTTTCAAGGCAGAGTCGGCACTCTGGCTCTGTGAATACACCTCTTCTTTGCATATAAAATCGCAGGCGGGCATCTTGCAGAGAATAGCCTGATGCCATTTTTATGTATGAACTTAAGTTTGTATGTGACACAATTCAGCCCGAGTATGTAGGGTGTGGATTATTAAATGAAATGAAATTGATAAATTATTATTGAATAAAAGAAAGTCGTATGGAAAACAGCTGAGACCACAAAATGGTTCTGGTCCTACAAGGACTTTAAAAAAGCTTGAATTTTATCCTTCTGTTAGAGAGGGAGATGGCTGCTTGGTTATCTGAAAAGTTACCTTTTTAACCGATTTCAAAGTATAACTTGTTACAGGTTAAGATTGTTAACACCTCTAGCCTGGAACAGCTTGGGCCTTCAGGCAATGAGAATAGCAAGTTTGGCACCAGGTCCATAAATGGCTGCATATGCTCTGTCTTTCATCATTGTACTGTCTGTGCGATAAAACCTTTCTATCAGCCCATGCTTCTCCAAAAGGTCTGTCGCTGTTACCGGTCTGTTGAAGGAACCGTTGTTCATCAGGCGCGCCCCTCGATGGTTAGATCGCTTAATCAACATTTTTTCAGTATTTGGCCGCAGTATTCATGCACTGTCTATGCAAGACTAGCTGAAACAGGGTAAAAGAGCAGCTCTTTTTATTTATCCTGAGGATCACATTGTCACACCGGGTTAAAAATACACGAAGAGGTACTGCCCTATTTTCGTATAAATATAATACATATGTAAGTCACATGCGTACCTTCCTGTAGGCAGCCAATCATGGCTCTAATCTTCACTTGAGTATTGCCAAAGCACGATGTGATTTCGCGCTTATTTAACTTGTTAATTAAATTGATTTAAAATTTTTTTAACAGGCGACAAGCCTCTTCAAAAGTATTCTCGAAATAAATAACCCTCGCTCATTTGACGCCGATGTCAAAATATTTTATTTAACTTGTTAACTAAATCGATTTTGAATTTCTAAGCAGTTGGCAACCTTCGACAAAAATATTTACGAAACAAAGATTTTTTAAACCCCTCTCGTTTGACGCTAGTATAATATATTTCATTTAATTTGTTAACTAAATCGATTTATGATTTCTGAACAGTTGGCAACCCGCTACAAATATATTTTCGAAATAAAACTTTCTCGAACCTAACTCGTTTGATACCCATTGGAGAATATTTAATTAACATGTTAATTACCTTGATTTTAAATCTCTAAACAGGCGGCAACCCTCTTCAAAAGTGTTTTCGAATTAAAGCTTTCTGACAATTAAAATTTATGATGATGATCTAAAGTTAAACATTTTATTATCGGTTTTAAATTGGTTTACAAACAAGAAACATACATACGTCAAAAACCGGTAATAGAAAGGCTTAACTTTAGACATAGCATTACTTTTAATCCAACCTTTAAATACAAAATGAGCTTCAATGTTAAAGGTTACTTCAGAAAGTGGCCCTTAATCCTCTCCCGTTTGACACCCATATCAAATAAATATTTAATTACCTACAAAAATTTCTTCGAAATAAAGCTTTCTTAAATCTTTCTCGTTTGATACCAATATTTTAATATTTTATATAATTTGCAAATTAAATTGATTATAACTTTTTGAACGGGTGGCAACTCTCCTCAAAATCAATCGTTATCCGTTATCACCTACATTGTCGTTGGAAAAAGGTGGCAGTTTTAGCGTGAAAGAGCAACAAACATACTCATTCACTCACAAACTTTAACCTTTGGAATATTACCAGGATTACTACTTCCATTGTTTTAACTTTTTTTCTTCCCCGTCCAGCGCCATCTACCAACACAACGTCCTTGGCAATGCCGGCTGCAAGAATCTCATCTATCAACCTATCGCCGGATCGGATGATTACAATGAGAACCTCTACTATTACACCAGTGAACGGCGACGAAAACGACAGGTCGACATCAATGTGAAGAAATATGAAACCTAGAAGGGAAAAGTTTAACAACAAAAAAATGCATAATTATAAATTAACGAACAGCAATCGATGTGCTCTGTCCTTTGCAGAAAGGATATTGTTAGAAGGAATGTTATTGTTGAGGGACTGTGTCAGTATGTACTATTTTTTGCTTTTGAGTTTTGATAGGTGTGTAACTGTATAACATACATATATATTACATTTGTGTGTAACTGTAAATTTATATACTAAATACGAGGCACTAGGAAGCCGGGCCTACTTTTGGCTCTTAAAAATTATTGAATGCATACTACAAATGCAGAGCCGGAAGTTAACTTGTAAATCAAAATTAATTTAATAAACGAATATAGAACTGTAAATTATAGCTATTTTTATTGGATAGGAAAGACGTTCGAAATTTTACATAAAAAACAAACTAGCAACAACTGGTATTGACCGCCACCGCTTTGTAATAATCATGAATAGAATTTCATAAATGCTTTGATTGATTGGCGATCGTTGTGAAATTGGGCGCAATCAATTGATATCATTGATTAACATGAATACATAGATCAAACAAATGATAATTATGATGTGCAAAAGCGAATGCCGCATGGATTATGTTGCTTTGATGATATTGTGGGTGCGTCAAGTTTTCAGTATGTTATGAGTGCTACAGTGGAACGCTTACCTAGGATGAATGAGTAAAACTTAATATGCAGTGGGCTTTATTGTGCACAGGAATATATTGTATAGATATTTATGGCCAAAAATTCGCCAACAAGTAATTTATTCTTACTATAAATTTTAATTAATTTTTACTGTAATTTCTTTTGCTAAATAGTTTTTGATCAAAAGATATTAAGATTTGAATCGTTTTGTCTCACTGTGCGTTATGATTTGATACTTTTGATGTTAAGCTGCAATCAGCAGTTCATACAGGTTCGATAACGGGACTGAAGTGAAAAACAGTAATGCTGCACAAAAAATAATAATAATTGTGATTTGAACTTTTAAGTGACTTTTCATTAAAATAAGTCCTCCAAGGCTTGATTTGCTCACCTTGTCGAATAAGGCTAGAGCACCGTTGCTCCGCAATCAAAGGCACTTTGTATTTCCGTAGTCAGGGCACATATCGCGATATCTGTAGATCTTCCCACTAACTGCGCGTGCTAATCGGGATGCAAAGATGCCTGTCTGAAAGTGTTAGATCTGATTTTATGGTAACGCACAGCTGACAGAATGAAGGAAGTGAGATTTATCGGCCTGTCGGATTTAGCGAGAGAGTAATATGTCTTAACTACTTTCGGGATGAAGATAACCCGAGCCCTTTGCCACATCTCAGAAATGTGGGCCAGTGCTAGACCATGCCTCATAATGTTGACAAGTTGTGGAAGCAGGAGCTCTTCGCCCTGTTTCAGCAGCACTCGCCTGATGCCATCAACTTCGGGGGCCTTGTGATTACAGAGTCGGTATGCCGGCTCTGCCTTGAAGAAGATGCAGCTTCAGAACATAATCCAGACAAATATTAATACTTTTTAAAGTTCCACTGTTGAACCCTTTGTTATAAAGAATTCACCTACCAATGTCCTTTAAGGTTTAATTAGCAAGCCGAAAGTACCTTGGGCACACTGGGTTAGGGACTCTTTCATTAAGAGATACAAAATATCGGTGTCTTTTGCTCAGTTATACCCTAGCAGTAACTAACTTACTTTCCAAACTAGAAATAAAGAATATTTGTCGTTTTTTGTCTATGGGGAGTTGATAAGCAGGCTTACACTCTAAGGGTACGTTCACACAGAAATCGGTGCCGAGCCGAGCAAGGCCGTTCCGACCTGATTGATGCTTTCAAATTACTGTAGCTATATGAAAGTGTTCAAACAGCAAGCTTTTTCGTAGGCGTTTTGGAGCTAAAAGCAAGCAGTTTTCATTTTGAATTTTCTATTTAATTTTTATGTTTGATAACGCTGCTGCAAACAAGATATCAAAATATTCAAATCACAACGAATCTTTTGAATAAAATTGCGCAAAAATTTTTTGTCGCTTTTCATTGGCGGTAAGTTTTTTGGTATCTTTGCAGCAGTGTTTGTGACAAAAGCTGCACTTCGGTTCGTTCAGTGTGAACAGCAGCAGCTTCGTGCTTAGTTAATGATAAATTTAAGTATGACCCCAGTTGTGTGGCATCACTATTTTTTCCGTTCAGTTTGAAATTAAATAAAAAAATAAGTGTGTATTTTTATCATTTTCCGCGCTCTGCCTTTTCCTTTTTCCTTTTTTGATATATTATATTATTCTTGTTTAATTTTTAGAAAGTTATTGAATTTATTTTTTTGCGTTTTTAATTTAATTTTTATATTTTATTGTTTTAAAAAGGAAACTATTTTTTACGGCAAGACAAACAATACCGCTAACAGGCCAATTCTGGCATCTGTCTTCCAACTTACCACAGTCTTTTGAAAGACAAAAGTCTTTCGTATGAAAATTGTCTATTCCGGCAACTATCTTGAAAGTTCTTTTCTGTATTTCGAAAGATTAATTGAAAGATCTGCCAACGAGGAGGTCTTGGCGTTATTCTATTTATCTTTTAGCAATAAGTTTTCTATAAACTAAACGAAATCAAAAAAAAAATATTTTTTAAAACAACAAAAACTAAAAATTTTAGAAGATAAAAAAAAAATAAAAATTATTAACAACTCAAAAATTAAAAGAAAAAATTTATTAAAAATGAGAAAAAAAATTCCATTGGCGTGGATTGAACTCGGATCTCTCGAATGGTTCGGCTGTGCTCTGCTCACTGGATCATTGCGACTGTTACAGAAACGTTAGCGAAATTGAAATTTATTAAAAACAAACAAAAAAATTCATAATCATTCGTCAAAAACTTAAGTAAAGGTTTCTGACTCTGAGATAGTCTTTTTGAAATCGTTACTGAGGAACACCTTAAGTAATCATTAAAAAACGACTCCGAGTGCGTCTGCTAGGAACGTTAGTAATGGTAACAACGATATACAATGTCTGGTTTTTGATGTGGTAACAATTTGGAAAACAAGCCGTATTTTACTTTTTTGAAAAGCATAAATAAAGACCTACATATGTATAAATCATTCAGGAACTTAATTATTCCATTTCTCAAGCAAGAAAAAATTTACAGTAGGTACATACATACGTGTGCATGTGTGTATATGTGCATCTGCATCTATCTATGTACAGATAATAGCCCAACCAAGCTTAATCCAAACAAACTACCAAAATTTACCTCATCTCGGTATTTTCTTTTTATAAATAGTATAAGTATTTAAACAATTATTTCTGTTTGCATTGGTGATAATAAAAAACCATACGCGGTACAAATATATGTATGTATGTATGTATAAATACGTACATAGAAGTCTGTGGTATTTTATTAAAATAACTTATTTCGAGATAGGTCATTTTCCTTTTAAAGCAATATTCAAAGGGTTCTCTAACAATATTTTAACAATTAACTAGCCACAGGTTAGCTTTAGATGTACTTTTAATAGAAACTTTATAAAATTATAAAATGTTTAAGAGAAACATCTTTTTTAATTCAAAGCCAAACCTTCTAAAGTCACATAAATTGTTTTAATAAAATGCCACAGTAGATATGAATGTGTGTAAATTTGACTATTGCTATGTACTACATAGCTATTTAGGGGCTTATGCTGGCATTTGACGGAGATTCTAAATAATTTGTGTACGTATTTAAATTATTTAGAGATTCCTTATTTCACATCAAATCTTAGCTTTCTATCTAATTGCACATGAGCTTTTGGTTTAACATATACATATGTATGTAAGTGACTATGCATGCGCGTATGTATTTAAATACTCATACTCCTATGAGTGCACTCACATGCGCATAAAAAATCGGCATTATCTATGAATATTTTAGATTTGCAAGATCGTTCACTTCGTTGCACCGTCGTTTTGAATACAATTCAGTCGTTATTTTGAACTGTCACCGCGCGGTTGTAATTCGCGTAACCGAATTCTGAGATACAAGCAATCCTGGCGAACAATTTGCAAATAAATATGTTTGTAGTGCGCGATCGCGGCAGTTAGTGAATCCTCGGAAATTTTTTGTAGAGTGCCGTAGACGCGAGCTGTTAGTCAATTAAGAGTAAAGTGGAAAGCCTTTTGTTAATTAAACATGCAATTTTCTATAAACTTAAACATTTAAAAAAAAATAAAATTACAAGTGCTGTGCAATTTTAATACCACAATTTTGTTGGAGAGTCAATGCTGCAAATTCACTGATTACCCCGAACATTTTCTTGGATTTTTCGTAAGAGATTAAAAAAAAATCTGCTGGAATACGGGTTTCGACTGATACTATTAAGAAAGTAGTTGCAGCGTTTTACTTGGTTTAGAGATGAGAAAAAGGTTTTTTAACAAAGGTTATAAATATATTTCGTTAGAGATGTGTGTTATGCTAATGGAACTACTAGTTTAGTACGAGCTAATTAGGGCGCTGTACTGGCTCTTAATCTATCCACAAGGCAATGGCACTTCTTAAAAGTTCCCAGCGGCTTACATGGACTAAATACTCTACGACAGAACCTTTTCTTCTTCGAAATGCGCGAAATTCCATCCGCAGAAGTAGTGGTTAGCAGTGAGCGCTACCATCCCGCAGGAGCTGGGTTCAAGCCCAGCTTCCGACCAACATCAAAATATTAAAAACAGGTTTTGTTCTAATAGCGGTGGGCAATGTCAATCCTCCGAGCGTATCTATCTAAATGTGTTCAGCCGTCATCAGTAGGCATGGCCGAACACAAGTACGACGTTCTGTCAGGTCTGAAGCTTCATCCACTGCTTTCTACAAGTTTCTCGTCCACCATACAGACGCAGCAAAGTTTATGTAAATCCTTTATGTGTGTTGGTTTCCAACAGCGTTTTTTTGTCTTTGCCTCAACTGCTTTGTACTTTCGTGTACATTTTTAACCGACTTCCAAAAAAGGAGGAGGTTATCAGTTCGTCGGAATATTTTTTTTTTTTACTTATTTATGTTACCGCATAACTTTGGACCACGTCAACTGATTTCGATAATTATTTTTGCATCGGAAAGGTAGTGTCTCAGAGGTGGTCCCATACTCATCTGGTTAAGATCCGATCAGTGGATCATGAGATATATATATATATTTTTTTTTATATGAGAGTTGAAGTGGTTTTTTTTTTTGCTAAAAATTACTTGTTGTACATTTGTGTACGCAGAGAAGGAGGGCAAAGTGTCAAAAGCAACCCCTAAAACTTTAAAAATCACCTAATGTAGAACTCACAACAAGCTTTTTAGGCATTATGGCTTTCGGCGCCGAAATATAAAAGTTTGAGCTGAATAAAGCATATGGCCTATTCCATAGTGATAGCTGGCACATGTGATCAATTGTGGATTATAACTACGTCGTCGGAACAAATACAAAGCAAAAGATATTTTTTTTTAACATAAATAAATAACTAATGTATAAAATTCCTTAAAAAAAATACCAATCGATTTCTTAGTTCATGTAACCATCATTTCAGCAGGTTAAAGGAATTTAGTCAATTAAAAAGATGTTACAACTGAAATAGAGATAACTAGGGAATTTGAAAATTTATGTCGTTTTCATCTTTTACATGGAATGACCCTTATGTATATACAGAATATAGCTGAATGTATTTATATTCAAAGATAAAAAAGGTGAAAATCAGGAAGCCACTTGAATAGTTTGGTTCCTTCATCAAACCCAGTTATGAAATTTTCGCTTTTTATTACAAGTTTTTATTTAATTTGTTGTGTATGTATTCATATATCGGCAGCTGAGTGGAAGATCGGCCTATCTCGGCAGCCAGTTCGATAACGCCTTATCTTAGGAAACTTTTCAAGAACGGCCTACTTCAGAATTCCGTTCAAAAACGCCGTATCTCAGCTGAAAATACCTTGAAAATGTGCTGAGATAGGGCGTTTTTCAATCAAATTCTAAAATACGGCGTTCTTCAATCAGGCTTTGAAGTAGGGCGTTCTCGAACTGGCTGCCGATATAGGACGATCTTCTACTCAGGTATCGATATGTAAGTATGTTTGTTTGGGTCAAATATTATAATAAATTTTAAACCAAATCCTCGATGAGCTAGAGACTTGAAATTTCGTACCCAGCTCAGAACCCGATGACGGTGCAATATCGCTAGCTTATAGTGAAAAGTTGCTAAGTGCATTGTTACAAATTTTAGAGGAGAGAAAAAACTTTCAATATCCCTTTTTTCAAGTAGGTTGCAAAACTTTGAATATGATAGGTTGCCTATTTAAAGCAAAGCTAAATTAAACGAATCAGAAGGATTCGATCGTTATTGAAAGATTTCGTATTATTTTGGCCTTAGCGCATATGTTTACTAATATCTTTTAATCGTTATTACCAACAGCTGCAATTTGTTTTACTGAATAAGGGGCCATTTAATTGCTATGCAAATCTAGATAAACTTTTTTAAAATTTTGACTTACAATTATTTTTTTTAACAAACATTTTGTCATACGAGCGTCACGTAACGCCAGTTTAGAAATACTCCTATATCAAAATATGAGTTTTCATTAAAAAAGCGGACTTAGCAACTTTTCACTCTAAAATCATACTCAGACGGGCAATATTGATCCGTATTAACGGTGCAGTTGATCTGATCAAAATTGAACCTTGACAGATAGCAGTAATGCGAATTAATTCCAGTCTCAATGCCAGTGCAGTCCTTACTTACTATTATAAATCCGAAAGTGAGTTTGTTTGTTTGCTACGCTTTCAGGATTTAACTATTCAACCGATCATCATGAAATCTTGTACACTCTCTCACAATCTCGATAAGGCAAGAGGGCGTGGCACCTCCCATACATACTGCATTTCTCAGGAAATATTTTTGGTAGATTACTGGAACTTGGTATGGAGATATATATAATCATTCTCTGCTCATGGAAGAGGGCTGCCACCTTTATAAAAGATCTAATTCAACTTCAATTACGGGATTTATTTATTTGCAAATTATATTAAAAAAATGGATGTCAAGAGGCTTAAAAAAGCTGTAGTTTATTATATTTTGAAAAGGCTTGCCACCTGTTTGAAAAGTAAAATTTAAATTAATTATACGCAAGCCATCTGAAGAATTAAAATATGGTTGTCAAACAAAATATTGTTAAGAAACCTTAAGTTTTAAAGTTTTGAATAATATTGAAGTCTTTCACAAGGGTTGCCACATTTAAAAAAAATTCACTTATTTAGTTTAAATGAAATATTATAATACTTGCAGACCCGGCGAACTTCGGACGCACAAAATTTTTATTTTTTTTATTGAAACTTTTTGGTCCAACATTTTCACCAACAATTCACGTTTACGATTTCCATTGGCACGCACATCGGCTAAAATTATGGTTTGGTGGTCGTTTTCCGCCTTAAATAACCTAACGAAAGCGTTATGTCCGTGATGAAGTTCCTGAAATTCTCTAATTGTGTAACATTTCATAGAACGGTTAATCTCACAACGAAATAAATTTGAAGAACATTTCCTCTTCACTCCCTGGCGGCAACAATGATCCGGTTCTAAAGTAAATCTGTCCAAGAAACTTTATCGTATAGTTGGTAGCAATTTCAAAATGGATGCCTATAATTGTTCTACAGAAATCCAATATACATAGACTTATTTCAGACTAAATACCTTAAAAGTAAGTTTCACGAAAGCAGTTTAAATGAAAATAATTTTTTTTTTTACTTTAATTTATTACAGTGAAAGGCGCGCGATGGTTTTTGGCGGTTGATCTATCGGTGGTGATTTGAGATTTACCCCTGCACAACTCAACCCTGGTGTCTTCGAATGAAGCTTTAAAGCATAACAATACTGGCAAAAGTCACATACATTGGGCCAATCGTAACACATAAAAATTCGATATACTCAATGGTGCAACAGGTTTATTTATTCTGACATTCACGGCACCTTTTCTAACTTGGCGATTATTCGTAATCACTCCAGCGCCACGTGGCAGCTCTTTTTTGCAATAGTATTGCCTTTACCGTTACCAATACATATTTTGAATATTAGCCAAAGTGGCGGGTGAATTTGTGAATCTACATTATCCAGAGTTACTCAAAAACACACAAAAAACTGCGTTTTAGGAGGATTTCACTCACAAACACACCTACAGATAGCCCGTCCATGAGTATAAGATTGATTTCATATATCTCCACACCAAGTTCCAGTACTCTACCATGAACATTTCCAGAGATATTCGGTATGAAAAATTCGGTTTTTATGGGAGGTTCCACGCCCCCTCTATATTTCGAAATTTTTTTAGCCTATAATAATCCTTGAGACGTCCGAATCAGATATCAGAAATTTAAAAACACATCGGGTCGGCCGTTCTCGAGCTTTGCGAACAAAAAAAAAATGGCTTTCAAAATATATATTGGTATAGATTGGTATGAATCGAAATGGTTTTGAATATGTATCACAATATGAGTGTTAGACGAAAGAGGTTTAAAAAGGTTGCCAACTGTTTAAAAGGTTAAATTTGAACTATTCAATAATTTAAATGAATTATTACAATGTGGGAATCAATCAAAATGATTTGAAAATGGCTTCATTTCTAAACTACATGTAAAGGGATGGAAGTTTAAAATATCAATTGAATTGAAAAAGTATGACAAGTGATAAGTTTAAGAAAGTTTTAGTTTGAAAATATTTTGAAGATGGTTAAACAAATTTTAAACCTGCTGTTTTTGCATCGAGTTTTCTTGAAAAAAATTTTACTCAATGTAGCACGCAAAAATTTCATACACTCAGCGAAGCGGGTGGGGGCGATCTAGTATTCAATATTTTTATTTTTTTTTTAAATTCATTTAACTATTACTTTTATTTAACATTTTGACATTTAAATTAACTAATAATAAAATAAACATATTTAAAGAAAAATGAAAAATACGCTCATACGTTTATAATGGCGCCGCGGCTAGAATTTTTCCGATATTTCCCCCTGTGCGGCGCCAATATGTTGAATGTTGACCATTGTTTTCCTTAATAACAAAACGAGCCGTCTCACAATGCCGCCTAAGTGAGCAAAAATCGAAAAATTCGTTGTCTGCAATGCGAACGTGTTTGATATTTTTGGAAAGGTAATTTATCCACTAAGAAGAATTAAACAGAAATTTCCCTATAAAATAAATTATATGCCGCCAGGAAGCCACTAAAGTGGATACATTTTATACTAAGAATTTTTGTAGCACAGCCATGCGTAAGCTCTTCACGGAAATAAATGTCTAAAATACATTCTTTGAAATA